ACGGATATGCGCGCGCGTCACCATGTTAGGCGGGCGCCATCGGTGCGCCCGCCGGGGACGAGGCAGGTGACGGATGGTAGCTAGTCGGCGGCGAGCTAAGCGAGCTCGGCGTCGCCGACTGGTCCGTCACCGCCAGTATCTCCTCCGTTTCGGTTCCGCACGCTGTCGGGAGTTCAGATAGGGACTCGACCGACAGCACGGGCCTTGTCCGCGCGTTGCGCGTGAATCTTCTCACCGAATCGGACGGTGCTTGAGGCGACGCGAACGAGGTCGCCTGTCTTCGAGCCGAGCGGTGCGTCTCGCCTATCGCTTGCGTGTAGCGTGCCACCGCTTGGTAGTCCACGCCCGGATGCGTCGCGAGATAATTCCGCATCTGCGCGCACGTCGCTGGCAGAAGTCCCTCAACGAAAAGGGACTTCAAGCGCCTGTCCGAAAATACGGTTCCGCAGCGCAACGCCTTGTCCCACAACTGGTTACTGTACACCTCCTCCGCCATATTAGAGCTCTGACGGAAGGAGGTGACATCACCGACCGCTTCAGAAATAACTTCGTCCGTCGCGTACGTGCGTAATAAAAAGTTAACAACTTTCGCGTAGGTTTCGAGCATATCGCGCTGCTCCGCATCGAGCGCCATGGTGTTCCCGTGTAGCGTGGACTGGAGCAAGGCGTGAGCCTGCCCAGTCAAATAGAACTGGAAACACCATACGGCCGCGCCTTCGCTGACCCCATTGTGGTCGCAGGCCATCTTGAAGCGCGCGAGAAACCGTAGCACCGCGATTGGATCTTGACCACCGAACATTTGGGTTTTCAGCTGGATGTCCAACTTCTTCCGATAACGGTTAACTCGCCGCGCGGTACTCGCGTCGTAGCGCGCGCTGCGATTTTCCAGCCTATACGTGCGGTAGTCGACGGCCTTGGTGAACAGGTCGTTCAGCGGCCTGATCACCGGCAACCGTTTCGGATCCCGCCTCGGGGCAGACCGGCGGTCTCTGCCCCTGCGATGGCGGTCTCCTTCTCCGCCGGGGATACTGTAGCCCTCCGGACCGGAGTCTTCTCGCCGGAACCGACGTCGGTCGCGCGCATTGCAGCCTCTGCGGTCGCTTCTGCGCGATCCGTCCGACTCGGTGTCCTCGTCATCGGAGGGGTATCCACCTCCTCCGGCATCGCGGTATCGCGTATAGCGTCCTTCGCGGTTATCATCGGAGGGGTAACCGACCCCTCCGGCATCGCGGTATCGCGCGTAGCGTCCGTCGCGGTTCTTGCGCGTCGCCCTGTGGCGACGTCTTGTGTCTTCTTCCTCGGAGGGGTTTTCTGTACCCTCCGAGGTGTAGCCTTGAGCGCCGGGTGCGCTTCTTCTGCTCGACCGATACGGCTGTCGCTTTTCTGTCGCGAAGCGCCCCAGGCGGTTTTCTGTCCCGCGGGGGCCAGCCGTATCGGCGAGTACGGGAGGGCCATTTTCTGTGGGCCCTCCTGTAGCACCATAAATTGGTGGGAGGTAAATGGTCTTACCCTCCGGGTGTGGGGCCATTGTACCGATCCCGGGTGCGGCGCCGATCGGTTCCGCGTGCGTTAGCGTAGGATCCGGAGCGGTTGAGTCGCGCTGCTCGCGTGCGTCGACTCCTGCTCCGGCGAAGGTCGTGGCCAGACGATTGGCCACGGCGGAGCTGATCGCTCCCTTTAGAGCCGTACCGGACGGGGATTATTCATCCACAGTGGTGAGCGCGGTCACCACCTCGCATTGGACTTGAGCGGGTAGAAGTTCGTCCAAAAGCGGTGGTATCGTGCTGCGTACGTGCGCGTCCACGAGCGCGGGCACCGTTCGGTCGAGGCATACGCGCGCTACCTGGGGGAGTTCCGTAGCGAGGAACTCCTCGACCCAGGCCTGGATGCGCGGCTGAATCGCGTCGACCATCCATTGGACGCGATTCTCAGTGCCTGCCGACACGGCCGGCGTAACATCCGATGCGGACGCTCGCGTGCGGCCCGGTCGCGGTGGCGGTCGCAGCAGGGCTTTCGGGTTCTCCACCCGGGGGCGCTGTGCGCCACTGCCATTGCGGGTGCTCAGACGCTCGGAGGCGGAGTCTCCCCCTTCTTCCAGTCGGTTCATCGTCGAATACGCTTCGCGATCGACGCGGTGATTTCTCAACCTTTTCCGTCCATACGGTTCTGCGCACGATCGAGCGACTACGCGTGCGGCTCAACCTCTAGAGTTATCCCCTCCACAACAGTACCAAAATGTGGGATAACTCCTCTCCGCCCTGGGTTGGGTGAGAGGCGGAGGCTCTAGCGAGAGAGCACGCGGCGTGGACGCGACGCGCTAATTGAACCGATCGGACGAGCTCGCGAAAGGGAGTGGCTCACTGGCCGGTTACGCGCAGTCGCCCCGTGGTGCGTGAACGGGAGCGACCGGTAACGGGTTAGAAGCCAGCGCGCGCGATAGACAACCGAAACGGACGTATATAGGCGCGAAAGGGACGGGGGCGAGCTTGCCCCAGTTTACCGGTAAGGACGGGTGTCAGGTCTTAACCCCTCAGAGGGACGCCTCGGACACCTGTCCCAGTACAGTAGTACAGTACCTGCCGCCTAGTGCGTGTCGGGTACTGTACACAATTAAAAAGCTAGCGCCATAATTACTACTACCGCATGGACGCTGCTACTACACGTGTGCACTACTGTACACGCGTGTTGCTTACAGACTACCGCACGGACGACACGTGTGCTAACGCGCACACGTAACACGCGTAGACTACCGCACGGACGACACGTGTGCTACTGTACACGTACGCCAGATTACGACCGCTTGGCACGCGCGCGCGCTCGCTACACGTGGGCACAACCGCCCACGTGTATACCGTACACGGCCGTCCGATGACCTCCCCGCGCTCGCACCGGTCATTATACTACACGGATAGCCGGCGGCGCGTTGAGTCCACTCCAACGACGCCCCGCGAGTTGGGCGGCGAAGCAAATGGACTGGACCTGCTGACACCGGAACGCCTGCCGGCCCGCTGAGCTGAAGGCGGCAGGCGGGTCGATGTACGCCTCGAGGAGGTCTGGGTCGGCGACCCCAGAAGCTCCCTGCCTTCCGCACAGTACCTCGTACTTGGCGGCGTTGAGCTCGTAAACCCCAAACACGGCGAGTTGCTGATCGGAAATCTTAAAGATTTCGGCACGGAAAGCCTCTTGTGAGACAGATGACTGGTCCTGCGACAAGAGACCTACGAGGGTTTCTGCGACTTCGGAGAGCCTGTTCGACGCCTGGCAGAGGTAAGCTGAGGTGACGTAAAGAGAAGACGCCTCGCTTGCTCTGCCCGGGCTGGCGTGAGTAGCTGCAAATGTCCTGTAGTGCACAACACCCTCTAGCTCGAAACCAACGGGGAAGTCCTCCTCAAAACCTCGGGGGACCTCGAAGCGAGTAGGGACTCGGTACTTCCGCCTCTCCTCGTACCAGCCCGCGGTTAAGGGCTGGGATCCGGAGCTGGTGTCCGGGTCAAAAACTTGATCGTCCTCGTCTTCGGATGAGGAACCCTCGGCGTCCTTCTCAGCTCCGGGTTCCTCTGACTGATTCGGCGGCGGAGCGGCGACGACGGGCGCGGCGGTGTTTTCGGCGCGGTAGGGGCTGCTTCGGCTCCACCGGGGACCCCGACGTCCTCTGCTCGAGCAGGCGTCTGACCCGCGACCGGGTCCGCGGTGGGCCGAACTGCGGGGCTAGCCTGTAACCCCTGTTGGGTCCCTGCATTCGGTTGCAGGGATTGAAGCGCCTCTCTGAGCTGAGTCGCAACAACCTCAGAGATCGCCGCGGAGGTGGCGGCGTCGAGAGCGGGAAGGGAGGGCGCCACGTTGGCTGGCACCGGATCGGAAGGAGGGCTGATATTCGCTGGGTCTACTCCTGACATTCCGCCTCGCCGGGAGCAAGGAGGTAAGCTGTGTCGAACCTCTGCACGTAGGCACGGGGAAAATCGTTTCTCTGCAGGTGGTGCTGAGAAACGGATGACTAGCTAGAGAAGACGTTACGCAGCGCTGCCAGTCACCCATCTAATACTCGGGGCTTGCGCCGCGGTGAGGGTGACTGACAGCAAGAGCGACAACGGGGGGCATTACAGTGTAGTCAACAGATACAGTCCGTAAAACAGTGACGCACACACCAACCCCAAAAAAAGCGAATGCGAAAAAAGGACAAAATCGATTCGTTATTCGAAAACCGCCTGAAAGACGAGGAATTTGCAGTGGGTGGGTCCCACTTTTGGGCAGCATTCCCGCAGACGCTGTCTGCGTCATAAACATTTACACGTACTCCTCATCATGTCCCGTAGAGGCGAAGCGTATAAGGTGGTGTCCACAAAATCTCTCGGGTCGCCTCCTTACTTCGAAGGGACGGTGTCCGCCCAGTTTCGAACGAATCATTACCCCAGGGGCTGCGACAGAGCCCTTCCCTGACACTTGCATCTGAATGCTCTCCACCCCATCTTCTCAAGCGGAACAACCCACAACTCCTGTTCCAAGTCTTCTTCTCGGTCGCAGTCTGCAAATCACAATTTTGGGTTCTCCTCAAAGATGGCCGCCGTCGACGAGGGTTGTTCCGATACTTTAACAGTCGCAACTAAGGACATGTGTGCGAAGGCATTTCATACCATTTGCAAAGTACTTCGTCCACGACTGCCTGCTCCTCAATCACTCGATATCCCCACCTCAAAAGGGGGTCTTTTTGTCACATGGTCCGCTCCCCGTGGTTCTAGACGCAATTATTCCTTACGTGGTTGCATCGGTACGCTTAGTCGTGCAAATCTCGACGATGCTGTTGAGCGCTACGCTTCATATGCCGCGTTCAGAGATTCCCGCTTTGACCCTATTGCAGCGTCTGAGATAGATGAACTTAAAGTTGGCGTCAGCGTGCTTTCGGGTTTTGAAAAGGCATCTCATGTGTATGACTGGGATATTGGCACACACGGCATCATTTTGGAGCTCGCTGGCGGTCGGTATTCCGCCACATACTTACCAGAAGTTTGTGCGGAACAAAACTGGAGCAAGGAGACTTGCATTCGAAGTTTGGCCGAAAAGGCTGGCCATAGGCGACCCATGGACGATGCTGTCTTGGAAGCAGCTGTACTGACGCGCTATCAGTCGACCAAGGCAGAACTTCTCTTCGCAGAATATATGGAGCTCATTGAAGAACATATCACGGTTCAGTGCTAATCATGCGTGGCTTTTTCAACGGAAAAGCAAGTTTTTGATCCCAAGGCGAGTGATGACCGGCACAAGTGCATATCGGATCTGTCAGTAAATGAAGTCTGGGGGCGGATGGTTCGACGCTTACGAAACAAAAGGCCTTCACACCTCTGACCCCACACCTGAGAGAATTTTGGCAGCCAACCATCTCCGCTTAAGCTCGGCCATTGTACTTTTCGGCTCATTCTTCTGCTGGCAAAACTGCTGGCGATGGGTTCTCATTTTGCTTGAAAATGCTTGCCATGTTAAAAATATGTACATTAGAAGTTGATAATCGATCAAGCACGGGACTTGAGCTGCAGCGATTATATTGAAAACCGCCTTTGCTTGTGCGAGTAATGTTGCGGATCCCTATTGTGAATCCAGTGCAGGATGAACAAAATGACTTTGCGAGCAGCTTCTCCGCCGAACTTCTTCCGCAGCGAGCGGGAGTGGCATCTGCAAGAATTATCGCAAAAGTACATGGTCCATCGCAGGGATCTACATGAGTAATGAATTCACGAGTGGAAGGCAAGAACTGGAACAAGAGCACCTAAATTTTGAGCACCACGACCACTATCGCTGCAACCGTTCTAAACAAGAAACTGTAGTGTGGGTCACAAATATGTTCATCGATGTTTGCCAAGAAAATCCCAGACATCCATGCCGCAGGCACGGGAACGCAACTGAAAAGCCAGGGCTTGGTGCCTCGAGCAGGGCTGAGCTGCTCCCGAACATCATCTTACTCTTCGCTACTGACTTGTTGTAGAATTCTCCTTTGTAAAGAAATCGATGATGAAAACTTCGCAAGAGTGCGCTGTGTTGTTTGTTATGGTAGTACTCTCATTTGAGTCAAACCCCTTGCCCCTGAAGTTGGTGATAGCAAATGCCAGCTTTGGCGGATCGTACTTGTCGTATCGAAGATGCTCTATGACATGGTCCGGAGAAGAACGTACATCAAGAAGGTCAAGAGCTGGTCCCATGAGAGTAGTCATGAGCCGACACAGTACCTTTTCTCCATCAAGCGTATTCACATGAATTCTTACAGTACACCCTGGTGGAAGCGTTGCGACAGCAGCTGAAGCAAATGGCAAGTCTTCACCGTGATGTCGTACAGACACATGGGGAAGCACATCGATAGACATAAGTGGAGAAGGGGGGCCTATGGCACGACCTAATGGACTCTCTATGCCCAGAAACAGGGACGGATGGGCGTCCGACGTATACTCGTGAACATGGGGATTGCTTGGGGTACTGTTGTACGACAATAATGTCCCTTTTGCAATTGAGATAGGGGATGGAGTTTGTTTTCGGCGAATGGGATCAGATACGACGTGGTCAGTCACATCAATGATTGAAATGAGTGACAGACAGACAGTCGGGTTGTAGTGCGCATGTAGGCTGCAGCGATCATGCGGCGGAAGATGGCCGACAAAGATGGTGTAGTCAACAGTTTCGCGGAGCGTGATGTGATGCGGCTCGTGGCGCCACTCTGGTGCTTCCTGTGACGGAAGTGGAGTGCTCGTAGAACTCATAACCAAGACACTAAGGGAACTCCCCAACAATGCCTGGCAGCCCTTGGCACAAGAAGCAGGTAGATTATTTTGAAGTACAAGGGTACCGTACGTCGCGTATGATAGGTGCCCTCGCGGATAGCCGAAATCTTTCACAATTCAAAGGCGTAACCTCGGGTAGATGCTGTCACAAGGGATGCCTGGGAGACCTTTCGGACAAGACTTGTTTTTGAAGAAGGCAACTGGAAATATAATTTGCTTTGTGTGCAGTTGAGTGAGAAGTGTCTCTCCAGAGCCTGAAACCCATAGGCGCCAAAAACTTTGCCAACTCGATACATTCTTTCCATCCGACCCCCCCACGAGGTCCAGCTGTCTTTGCTGCATCTCCTTTGTAAAGCAATGCGCCCAGACTCACTGCGTATGCAGAGTATTTCTTTCGTCGTCCCCTCTACGCCCGCTTCGTCAACTCATGCGCGAAGCCGTCTGATTGGTACCGGAATCGGAAGGATGCCGCCTCGGCGCGGACCTGTGCCGCGTGCTGTGGGCAGAACACGCGCTGCTGTGGGTATGACCCCGAGCGCACAGCTCAATCCAGGCGATGAGGTTGAGGGTCGTGTCACGCGATTAGTTCGCTATGGCGCCTTCGTTGACCTTGGGGCAAATGGATCAGGTCTCGTACATATCTCCGAGGTCACTGACTCTTTCGTGTCTGACATATCTGCGCATCTCAAGGAAGGAGATGTCGTTCTCGTTCGTGTGCTTTCAGTAGACGCAAACAATGGCCGCATAGCTCTTTCGATGAGACAGTCGACAGCAGCCATTCCGTCGGGTTATGATCGTGTCATCGAGCTTGGGGGGGACTGGGGCCATCCATGGAACGATGACGGGCAGGCACAGTATGCTGATCTTGGTCCGAGAACGAAGGGACCGGAAGCCTGGGAGCCAGATCCCGACCTCTTTCGGAAGTGGGACACTCCGAAGGATAACGATAATGCATAATACACCTTGGCATCTCCGCTGTGGAAGATGGTAGCAACTCTGGACATTGACAGCTGCTTCTCGAAATACATCTTTTGTAACCAGTCGCGCAACGCTGGGCCTCACTCTTGCTGGGGATCTTTAGAACCGCTGAAGAAGCCACCGAACATATTCGATAGACTGGTTAGAAGTTCTAATATGTACTGCAGGTCGTCAAGTTGTGGAGCGGCCAGACCTTTTCCAAGTGCTATCACTTTGCCGATATGTTCCTTGGACTTTGCATTTCGGGAACGCTGTGCTACGAATGAAGGAGTTTCCATGTACCTGTGCATGGGTTGCGCCAGCCAAGCGCCTCGCTGTTTCGGGAAGAGCGAGAGTGGCGTTGCTTCTTATGAAATGGTGTGTCACACTCAATTTGAGCCGCTAACATTGCGCAATCAGACTCAAATATATGAAGAGAGGGTTCAGGAGTCGCGTGCCTGGTTAGAAGGACGACGACTGTCACTGCTCCCCCATGCCGCGTTGCGGTGTAGTTTACCTTATCAAACTCAAAGATCATATCCCCAACGCCAAGGACTGAAGACGACCTCTTCCTAGTTCTTCCATGTCTGCAATTCCTTTACGTGTATCTGAGTAATAATGTTGCTCGCCATAGAGACGCAAATAACAGCGATAGGGACGTCCCCAGACAGACAGGGCCTGCACAGTCTTACATAAGCACTACAGGAGTGGTACAGTATCTAGGTCGATAAGAACAGCTATCATCTACAGCTCACTTCTTTCAGAAGACCCTCTATGACTTCACTTTGCGTTTGATGCAACAGTTGCATGTCGGCGATTTGCCTCTTTTGAAACTACAGAAAAGCGGCCGCCGTTCTCATTTTTCAATGAAGGCTGGCTAGTCTCCGAGGGGGATTCGCTGGTGAACACCGTTCCATTGGAATACTTTTTTTGCAGACAACGACTTAGCCTGGTGTCGCGTCACTGCAGGGATGTGATGTTCTCATAGTATGTTTGCGTCTTGCTCAACGTTGCGTGGATGTGTTCTGTGCGCAGTTTGAAACCCGATTAGTATCATGCCTGCATTTTGGTGCCGACTTTTTGAGTTATCTGCACCAACATACTTCTTTCTCGTGCCTCTTTTCCATCGTGCCTCTATAAGTTAGCATCTAATCATTCGCCGCGCAGTTTCGGATATGGCGGATCTTCAACCCTCACTTTCTTCCATGAGATTTGTGTAAGACGGGAGTTGCAAAGTGCGCAGTTTGATGCTGTGCTGTGCTATGTATAGGACCTCACTTCTTTGTCACCGCTACCCTGTATGACCAAGCGATGGCCCACAGCATTGCAATAGGTTGCGGCTCTCCCGATACCAGAACCCATTACATTTGTTGCCCTCCTTCCATCGCATGTTCTGATTCACATTGTACAGTGTTTGCAAGATTATATTCTTTAACGAAAACATACACAGTGGCCTATCCAAACCAACTGTTAGATAATGGACTGCCGGTGGCTTGTCTGGTTGTAATCGAAAGGCTCTTGCTCGCTGCCCGCGATATTCAAGTATGATCCTGTTGGAGAGATGGAGGCGATGTTAAAAATTTATGCTTCAGTTCTCCATGAACGGCGGCACCGCTGCTACAAGCGTCATGTTCACTGTTGTAGATTATGGACACAAGAAAATTAGAGCGGCGGTAAACAGCGGTTGGTTCCACGATACTTCTCCAGCCAGGCCTTAACCCTAGCGCGGCCTTCATTGATGTACTTTCTTGCGTTTCCGCGCTTGTCATATTCGTATCTGGGCGGTGCGACCTTGGTGGTATCCTTCTGATGGGCGAGGGCAAAATCGACGTCGTCGACGCGATTACGAACACGAATCTCACCGCGGTACTTACTGGCGTCAAAGTTATGATACACAAAATTGATCCAGTAGTCGTTGTGAGCCGAGTTGTAGGGTACGGGGTAATAAACGCCACCGAAAATCTCCATGTGCATGCGAGTGGATACATGGAAGGTAAATGTGGCCCACGACGCCCACTCATCCTTAAACCTGACAATGCCAAAGTAGCGGCACGGCCTCTTGTGGCCGACGGGGGAGCCGATTCCATTTAGGCTGTCGCGGGAGCGGGAGACCCAGCCTTTAGTGAAGAAAACCATATCGTCATTGGAGAGGAAAAAGTAATCACAGCCGTCGTCTTTCCAGCCTTTGCGAGGACGTTCCAAATGGCGTTGATACGGCCGTGGAGACCGTACAGCGGGGTGAAGACGAGCTTAACGACGTCTTCGCTAAAGCCCTTACGCTGCAAAATGGCGTGGGCCTCGTCTTGGAACGCAGCGCGGAGATCAGGCTCGCCAAAGACGGGATCATCGGAGTCGTGGCCGTAATAAATGCTAAATTTGAAGTGGCTCTGCTCTGATGAGGTAACCGTGTCGGCAAAGGTCCTCAAGAAAGCTCGGAGGGCAATGTGGGAGCGGGCGTCGCTCTCCGTCCATTTTTCTTTGCCTGCGGAAAGCGTGGGCTGAAGGACGCAAAAGTGGGAACCGAGGTGTCCCGAATCACCGACATTTGAGGTGTTTGCGGCGGCAGCGAGACGTGCGCGGACGAGTGCGTCCTCTTGTAAAAGCGCTGCGGCAGCGGAGTCGTCGGCGGTCTCTGCAGCTCCGGAGGATTCTTCGTGGGAGAGTGCAGTGGAGGTGGATGTGCGGTTGAAGAAAAGGATG